GTTGGTAGTGTACATGAATTAAGTTAATTGGGTTCAAAGTAGTGAAAATGTAAAACAATAGCCTAAATGGTCACTTAATGGGAGATTAGTTAATATGACAGGCTATGTTAAGAAGTGATACTATGTGTGCATGTTTAAAATCTAATTGTATGGCCTGAAGAAATAGTCATTTGAAAGAATCCTTATATCGAAACTCAGTCGATGACTGTGTTCACTATGTTTATCGATTGGTAGAGCATACACAAAACAAACTCAAGTGACCCATCAAAGTTTAAGCAAACCTATTAGGTGAATGTCGACATGTTTAGTTACCTTTGGGATATAACTCATAACACCTGTCTCAGCAATGGTTTTACAGTGACACACGTATGTCATAAGTGTCTCTCAGGACAAACCGTGTTGTATCGTGTGTGTTTAAATGACATGTAGCTAAGTTATTCATAACCACTAGGACGAACGTGCTCAATTTTCATTCGAACAACCCTTGTATAACGATGATCTACCATTATACGACATACTCAAGCCACCGTATTTAAATAACGTGTTGAAAGACGGCCATAATAGTAGACCGTATTTATTTATTCAATGATGATTTTTATTTATCCGGAAAATGTTTGGACCAGACGGCCCTATGTTAAACATCGGAGTCACTCAGTTTTAATCGCTGCAATATCTTACAAATATAATTTCACTTTATAATAAATCAAATTAAGTTGTATTTATTTTAAAAATTACCTTTAAACTTATCAGTGATAATGATATTTTGTGAAAGCATGTTAAGTCACCGGTTTCCAAATAAATAGGAAATGAGTTCAGGCGTTATTCCGGTTTGTGCATAATCTTGGAAAAATTGTTTTATTTTCAATTTATTTTCTCTTCATATTGGTATAATAATAATAATATTAATAGTAATAATGATGGCACGTTCAATATTATCATAACATATTTCATCCGTACATACCTATAGGATTACGAATTTATCATTTGAGATTGAACGTTTATATATTTTTATTTCAATTCTATTAGTATTGATTTTGCCAACCACGCATGTCTAAACTAAATGGGGCATGTCGTCTAATTAGATATTTCAAATACAAGTTAATGCCTCTGGTAGTTTGCATAAACCATTTTCAGTAAACTTCCATATTCTTAGTAAGTCTTATGACTGAAATATCTAATAACTGAGTGATATGTAATATTAGGTATTGGTACACTATTCTTAATTATCAGTGAACCTAGATTTTTTGACTAAGGGATTTTGTTGTGTTCACCATTCCGATTACATCCTACCTAAGTGCGTCATCTAAATGATTTATATCCGAAAATCATGTTACATGGAAAGCAATATTCCGAGATGAAACAAGTGACGACGAAATACCGGTTTCCAAATTATTACTCCATTGTTTCCTCGTGGAAATTAATATTCATACCTACCGTTAGTCTTTGCTTGTTTACAACCAATCAATTCATGCCACCACTTAAGAATATTGAGTTTTAGATTAAAGTTTCGTTGTTGATTGTGTTTCAACCTTCAAATAAAAGATAGAAAAACCAGACTACAAATGAAATTTAAAATGTGCTCAATACATAGTCGTTCTGTTATGGAACTCATCTTTCGAAATTCATTTTCATTATGTTAACTGTCTAAATTTAATAGTGCATATTATAATCTAATGTATTTTAGTGAGTATATATATATATATATATATATATATATATATATATATATATATATATATATATATATATATATATATATATATATATATATCCATGGAATATATTTGTACTCCTAACGGTTACTTTATCTTTCTTAAAGTTGTCGTAGTATATGATTACTATTATCATTGACACATTGTATGTATTCCGTTAATTTATTTTGATTTGCACCACTTTACAAAAAAAAATTTTCATAATGAAATATAACATATTTGTAGTTCTATCAACTATGCATTTATATTATTGATTTTCTGAAATTGTCATAATAACTTAGAGATTATGATTAATATTTAATGAATTACTAAATAGTTAAGAGTTCATTATGTAAATGATTTAAATTTTATATAAAATACTCACAATTTAAATAACATAAGTTGAATTTTTTCTTTCTCAAAAGTATTCAATCATTTTACATACTTTTGATATTTATATATATGTGTTCATCCAACATTAATCAAGGTCATCTACATTTTAATAATGTGATCAAATTAAAAATATCTAACCAATGATAATTAACTTATAAAATCAATACAATAGGTCATTAGGTCGTTCGTATTTCAAATAGTTGACAAAGTAAAAATATCATTCATAATTATAATATATGTTTGTTTTGTTGAGGACATCATACGAAAACAATAGTAATATTGATAGTCGAGATCATGAGTTAATTAAAGCTAGACCACTATGGAAAATGTACAAGCATTGGACGGGCGTTTTGTCTTACTGTTTAACTCCTCAGCGGTGCGCATCCACGATCCCACCTTGTGAGATTCTAACCCAGGACCTATCAGTCTCGCGCGTTAGCGCTTAACTATTAGACCACTGAGCTGACCGACATCCAACGGTGTTAATGTCTAACTTCAACTAATCCACGAAATTGAGCGACGCATCTACCATTGTCTTCATTGAGTTGATATCTCACAACTGACCCGATTGAACTCCACTGTTCACTTCTCAATAGATTTCCAAGAAATACTTCTTGAAGATCGTCATTAGTGAGCATATGTGATTTCAGGTTTTCCATAGTGGTCTAGCTTCAATGGACTCATGATCTCAACTATTAAAATTACTATAATATCCACAAAATTCTTTCTGATAACAACCGTAATAGTTTAAACAGAGCAAGAACAACAGGGTTTTGTTTTTGCAGAATAAAATGAATTGTTTCACAGTTTCTCATCAAATGCATACAACCCTAAATTTACAATCACTAATAATAAATATAATGATAAACAAATGTTTAGCATACTTTAGTTCGTGAAGTTTAGATAAATGTTCATAGAGTAACCGAAAGTTATATTTTATGAAGTAGTAATTCAGAGTGGAACAGCTGTTATAATTACCAGTGATCATAAAACAGCTTATGTAAGGGTAATGAGACTATTAAGTGATTAGCTAATCATTGAATATGATGAAACAAACAAATATATGAACATCATTAAGATTATGTATGAGATGAATATCGGGAGACGAAAAAAAGACATAAGGTTAAAAGTTGAAATTAATAAACGTTATTCGATGAACTCCCAATCATCATACCAGAGAATAGTTAACCGCAATTTTTGTCACTATATATAGATCAGGTCAAGGACGTTAATGGCTATCGAGTGATAATGATTACTGAAAAAACCAATAGTAAAGTAATCATAATAATGGTGATAATAATTGAAGTATGTATGAGGAAAGAAGTGACTAAATTAATAAGAGGTCATACATTCTGTTGAATAATGTCAGAATTATTAGGCTCGTTGTAATCAACGTAAATTATGAATGAAGTTATGACTAAAACAAGTGGTGTCATGATAACCACAAAATTAAAGTCTGTTCGAACAAACAAAGCAAACAGTAACTTTTAAAAAGGTGGAATGGGACAAGGAAGGGAATGTTAGTGGCGAAGCTGTCACATTCTCAGTGCCAAGTGATCCACAAGTTCTTCGTGTATGTATAGACGGACTGAAGCGAAAAACAACGTTTGCTTCTATCAATCAAGATCGAGTCCATCTGTATATGTTCAGAGATTCTCTTTGATGTTATCCTTGTTCTTCCAACTTACGTTTGAATAGGAAGATACGATTTTAGATAAATAAAAGAAGCCTTTCAGTTGTATTTGTGATAATCAGGTTGATATATCTCAGTTCAGTGTCGGCCCTTAGCCGACGATTTTAGACATACTAGTGAAATCTTTGGATGCAAGTCTGACGAATGTTTTCATTTTACGAACAGTGGTTTCCTACTGCATCATTTATCGACTTACAACTCTGATTTATGAACTGCATGGGATAATCATTTTCGATAAAGTTCTTCCGGATGAATCGCACTTTGTTGTTTTAAGGATCTTCGCAACATAATATGGTTACCTTTCAGAATATTCTGACAAGCATCCTTTCATATGCATTTCAATAAAAGCTGCTGGTTTATGAATATTACCCTGTAGAGAAAGTTGTACTATAGGTGATTAAGTCTGAGGGATTCATTGTGATTCGTGTTTAACGCTCTAACATCAATTTTAGATTCGACTTATCCAGGTTTAAACGTCTAAATACATCATCACTATAATCATGTTTATTGCATAGGATGAAAGTAACATCAACATATTTCAAATACGAAGATATTTGCGTCATTGAATCATTTACATTTACTAGTTTTACAATGAATACAACGACATATAGAATGGTCCAATGAACTCATCATCCCAGTACCTGTTTATCTATATTTTCCATTAAAGTGTACCTGAACATTTTTCTAAGTGGAAAAACAATATTTTACTCTATTTTCAAACAATTTATTCTTATTAGTGTACTTTAATATAATGTCAGTAGTCTATTTTTCTTGTTTATTTCGGTGATGTATTGTGATTTACTACTCTTACAAAGTATCTCTAAAAACTCGTTTTTTTTAATATTATTTAACTACATATCATGTGCTAATTAGTGTTTAAATATAGAGCATATGTAAATATTCTGTCATACAATTATTGGAGAATATTACTGAAATATATATGCAATCTACAAACTTATAATACCGAAGCAACTAACGTTGTAAATACGAATCACCATGTAAGCTTGAAGTTGTTCTCGTATGTATGTGTTAAGTAAAAATTAATGGATATTTCATAATAGAATCCGGATTTTCCTACTAGAACTTTCCTTTATTAAATAGGAATTTTAATAAAAAAGAATAGAATTTGAATTGATCAAAGGTTGAGACAAGTGGGAAATTTGTTTTCCAATTGTTATATTTGAATAATATACCTATAAAAGTAAGGTCTTTATATATTTCAGATTTAACACATTCAAAAAAGAAAAAACGAAAGAACAGAAGTCCTACGGATAGTTCTGGTAGCACTTCTTCTAGTTCTAATCCTTTAAAACAAAAACCGAAATCGTTAATTAAAGAAGAAGTGATCACATCACTTAGTGCCGATCCGGTAGTTTATCCTCCATGTGTACGTCTAATGGTACTAGCATCACAGTATGCTCAGACAGGACAACTTTTTATCATTACAAGTCAAGAGTCAATCGAAGGCAAGGGTTGTATTGGAAAGTCGTCGCATTTATGTCCATATGCACATTTAACAAATGACCCAGAGATAAGTGAAGTAAGTAAAATAATTAACAATAAAAATTAATCTGTACATTACGATAAACAAATCAGTAGCATTACATAAAACTATCTATATACATTAATATACATGTAATAGTTGGACTTCGGAACACGTCGACGGGATGTGATGACTTGTGTTTGATGTGTGAGGTGGATCATTGTGTTATTGTCCGTATAGTGTTGGTGGGTATGAAGCGGTGGCTGGGACTTGTTGCTTACTGAGAGAAGTGTTGTTCACGGAGATGCTTTGGGCCAATATGATGTGTTTGTTATGAGTTGAGGATTAGGTGTTGTGAATAGTATTAGTACAGTGTATTGTGTGAAATGATGGTAATCGGTGTGTTGTGTGATGTGTGTTCTGTATGATGGATAGTGTTAATTTAGCGCGATAGAACTGCCAAAGTTGAATGTGATGTTGGATATGATCTACTGAAATGATGCAAAGTAGTATAAGTGGGTAGTGTTTGTAAATATTGTAATTGATGTTTTCGTGTGTATTTGTGTATATGATGGTGATTTTTGTAGAGAATTGGGTTGTAATTATAAATGTTTATGTGGTGAGAGTGTTATATGGTGATGCGAATGGTTGTATATGTTGTATGTGTGAAACGTTTGCTAATTGATGATTGAGTGTAATGTGTTGATGTATAATAGGTAGGTTATTGTTGAATATTGTGCTTAAACTTACTTGGCGCCGGGACCAGGGTGATCACGAATGCTCTGGCCCCAGGTGGAGGCTCGCCATTGCACTCCGGCGTGTTGAAGCCTGCGACGATCCCTAATCGGGCTCGCTCGGACGCGTAGTTTTTGTCAGTGGGGAGGTCTTCGGATCATCCCTTTGAATAGCAATATAGTTCTCTTTAAACTCGACCACTGCCAACCACACGCTATCTAACACCAACATCTGCCACACCATACACATATTCTGACTTGACAAAACCCACCTAATCATCACCTTCCCCACTCTATACACTCAACACCTGACATACACTCTAATTTCATTGCACAATATGAAACATCAATCACCCAACACACTCAAACAACTGCCCCCACAAATAACTACACACACCACATCACTCATTCCATAAACACCAGCTCTTACACAACCCAACAGACAAACACTGGTCCACTGGTGATTCGCATTACCGCATACCATGACATCCCCATTCTCCGTGCACATTACCATCAAGCGAACTTCACACTCATCTAGTTCACTAGACCAGTTCATATACTTGGTCATAGTTGCGTTGTGATTGTGATGAGACTATTGCATTCGATGGCAATTATCCTGTGTCACAATGTATATGTGTATGTATAGGTCGTTCGTAATTCAACATTGTTAGTTTGTGTGTCTGAGTCCTGTGAGTAGTGGTGGTGCAGCCACAGGGGAATAAGTAGAGAAGTATATGGTAATGCGGTGTAGTTGGAATGACTTGACAAAGTTTTGAATACGTACAGCTGACTTCAGTGACATTGATGTTTATGGCTGTGGTGAATGTAATCACGTATGATACTTCTCTCTCTCTCTCTCTCTCTCTCTCTATATATATATATATATATATATATATATATATATATATATATATATATACGTATATGTGTACATGTGTTTAGGCGGCTTGTTAGTCGTTGAAGGTCTTGGGAACAGGTGAACGATGATAGTTGTGGCGATGATCTGTCTGATGTAATTGGATGTGATGACTTGTGTTTGATGTGTGAGGTGGATCATTGTGTTATTGTCCGTATAGTGTTGGTGGGTATGAAGCGGTGGCTGGGACTTGTTGCTTACTGAGAGAAGTGTTGTTCACGGAGATGCTTTGGGCCAATATGATGTGTTTGTTATGAGTTGAGGATTAGGTGTTGTGAATAGTATTAGTACAGTGTATTGTGTGGAATGATGGTAATCGGTGTGTTGTGTGATGTGTGTTCTGTATGATGGATAGTGTTAATTTAGCGCGATAGAACTGCCAAAGTTGAATGTGATGTTGGATATGATCTACTGAAATGATGCAAAGTAGTATAAGTGGGTAGTGTTTGTAAATATTGTAATTGATGTTTTCGTGTGTATTTGTGTATATGATGGTGATTTTTGTAGAGAATTGGGTTGTAATTATAAATGTTTATGTGGTGAGAGTGTTATATGGTGATGCGAATGGTTGTATATGTTGTATGTGTGAAACGTTTGCTAATTGATGATTGAGTGTAATGTGTTGAAGTATAATAGGTAGGTTATTGTTGAATATTGTGCTTAAACTTACTTGGCGCCGGGACCAGGGTGATCACGAATGCTCTGGCCCCAGGTGGAGGCTCGCCATTGCACTCCGGCGTGTTGAAGCCTGCGACGATCCCTAATCGGGCTCGCTCGGACGCGTAGTTTTTGTCAGTGGGGAGGTCTTCGGATCATCCCTTTGAATAGCAATATAGTTCTCTTTAAACTCGACCACTGCCAACCACACGCTATCTAACACCAACATCTGCCACACCATACACATATTCTGACTTGACAAAACCCACCTAATCATCACCTTCCCCACTCTATACACTCAACACCTGACATACACTCTAATTTCATTGCACAATATGAAACATCAATCACCCAACACACTCAAACAACTGCCCCCACAAATAACTACACACACCACATCACTCATTCCATAAACACCAGCTCTTACACAACCCAACAGACAAACACTGGTCCACTGGTGATTCGCATTACCGCATACCATGACATCCCCATTCTCCATGCACATTACCATCAAGCGAACTTCACACTCATCTAGTTCACTAGACCAGTTCATATACTTGGTCATAGTTGCGTTGTGATTGTGATGAGACTATTGCATTCGATGGCAATTATCCTGTGTCACAATGTATATGTGTATGTATAGGTCGTTCGTAATTCAACATTGTTAGTTTGTGTGTCTGAGTCCTGTGAGTAGTGGTGGTGCAGCCACAGGGGAATAAGTAGAGAAGTATATGGTAATGCGGTGTAGTTGGAATGACTTGACAAAGTTTTGAATACGTACAGCTGACTTCAGTGACATTGATGTTTATGGCTGTGGTGAATGTAATCACGTATGATACTTCTCTCTCTCTCTCTCTCTCTCTCTCTATATATATATATATATATATATATATATATATATATATATATATATATATATATATATATACGTATATGTGTACATGTGTTTAGGCGGCTTGTTAGTCATTGAAGGTCTTGGGAACAGGTGAACGATGATAGTTGTGGCGATGATCTGTCTGATGTAATTGGACGTGATGACTTGTGTTTGATGTGTGAGGTGGATCATTGTGTTATTGTCCGTATAGTGTTGGTGGGTATGAAGCGGTGGCTGGGACTTGTTGCTTACTGAGAGAAGTGTTGTTCACGGAGATGCTTTGGGCCAATATGATGTGTTTGTTATGAGTTGAGGATTAGGTGTTGTGAATAGTATTAGTACAGTGTATTGTGTGAAATGATGGTAATCGGTGTGTTGTGTGATGTGTGTTCTGTATGATGGATAGTGTTAATTTAGCGCGATAGAACTGCCAAAGTTGAATGTGATGTTGGATATGATCTACTGAAATGATGCAAAGTAGTATGAGTGGGTAGTGTTTGTAAATATTGTAATTGATGTTTTCGTGTGTATTTGTGTATATGATGGTGATTTTTGTAGAGAATTGGGTTGTAATTATAAATGTTTATGTGGTGAGAGTGTTATATGGTGATGCGAATGGTTGTATATGTTGTATGTGTGAAACGTTTGCTAATTGATGATTGAGTGTAATGTGTTGAAGTATAATAGGTAGGTTATTGTTGAATATTGTGCTTAAACTTACTTGGCGCCGGGACCAGGGTGATCACGAATGCTCTGGCCCCAGGTGGAGGCTCGCCATTGCACTCCGGCGTGTTGAAGCCTGCGACGATCCCTAATCGGGCTCGCTCGGACGCGTAGTTTTTGTCAGTGGGGAGGTCTTCGGATCATCCCTTTGAATAGCAATATAGTTCTCTTTAAACTCGACCACTGCCAACCACACGCTATCTAACACCAACATCTGCCACACCATACACATATTCTGACTTGACAAAACCCACCTAATCATCACCTTCCCCACTCTATACACTCAACACCTGACATACACTCTAATTTCATTGCACAATATGAAACATCAATCACCCAACACACTCAAACAACTGCCCCCACAAATAACTACACACACCACATCACTCATTCCATAAACACCAGCTCTTACACAACCCAACAGACAAACACTGGTCCACTGGTGATTCGCATTACCGCATACCATGACATCCCCATTCTCCGTGCACATTACCATCAAGCGAAATTCACACTCATCTAGTTCACTAGACCAGTTCATATACTTGGTCATAGTTGCGTTGTGATTGTGATGAGACTATTGCATTCGATGGCAATTATCCTGTGTCACAATGTATATGTGTATGTATAGGTCGTTCGTAATTCAACATTGTTAGTTTGTGTGTCTGAGTCCTGTGAGTAGTGGTGGTGCAGCCACAGGGGAATAAGTAGAGAAGTATATGGTAATGCGGTGTAGTTGGAATGACTTGACAAAGTTTTGAATACGTACAGCTGACTTCAGTGACATTGATGTTTATGGCTGTGGTGAATGTAATCACGTATGATACTTCTCTCTCTCTCTCTCTCTCTCTCTATATATATATATATATATATATATATATATATATATATATATATATATATATATACGTATATGTGTACATGTGTTTAGGCGGCTTGTTAGTCGTTGAAGGTCTTGGGAACAGGTGAACGATGATAGTTGTGGCGATGATCTGTCTGATGTAATTGGATGTGATGACTTGTGTTTGATGTGTGAGGTGGATCATTGTGTTATTGTCCGTATAGTGTTGGTGGGTATGAAGCGGTGGCTGGGACTTGTTGCTTACTGAGAGAAGTGTTGTTCACGGAGATGCTTTGGGCCAATATGATGTGTTTG